TGTGCGGGCTCAAGCAGGTGACATGCTGATGGTTCGATTTCAATGTGACATATGTCATTTCAGGAATTTGGCCAAACGGTTGCCAGATCCGGGACAGCCCAAGGAGGATGAGGAGATTTTGGAGCATGTATGCCTCTGCAAACTCTGGTCTCTCATCCTGTGTTGGCGCAACAATTGCAATTCAGAGGGACCGTGGAAACATTAGTCAGTGACATGTCATGTACCACAGTCCAAAACCAACATCCACAGTTGTCGCTCTCAGTGTTATGCTAGTAATGACGAGCAGGTGACCAAGTTGGAATGGACGATGCCTTGTGCAGGTAGATGTCCAATAACTATGAACAAAAAGCTGTCTGTGGCGCAGCACTTGTACCCAGTATATGGTAGTAACTGATCACGGATCATTATGCCTAAGACAACTAGACTAAAGTGACAAGTAGAGTAGCAGCGTTCCCCAGCGCAATAATTAGGGAGGAGGTCAAGTGCATAGGCAATTTGCTAATCACTATAAAATATTTTAAAGGAAACAAAGTTAATCATGGAGAGGGATGATGACGCGCACTTGCGATTTTAATTGCAGAATTGATTGGAATGACACAAGGTGCACTATGAGCCTCTGTTATGTTTTGCCTGCTTACCTTACTCTGTCTCTGGTCCACAAATCAGGGAATGTAAGAAGTTGTTGGACAAAGGGAGGACTTCTGTTGTCGCCCCAGTTGCAAGAAAGAAAGAGTGACAGTGCAAAATGGAATCTTCTGCAGAAACTGCTTGTACGGGCAAGGGTCTTATTGTTGAAATTGCTCTCTTGGAGACCATTCATTGGAAACTCCTTGATGGAAGCAGTTCGACACGTCCGATCGGACAGACGGACAAATGTTCGTTTGGTCCGTTTATTCGGGGGATTCCTATGAGTCGGTTTTGCAGGGAATCTGAAAACATGGAATTGTGCGCTTGGACTATCAAACGTCTGAGCGCCACGAAAATCCCATACTGAATCCTGCGGGAGTTTGGTACGTGGGTTTTGTACCGGCCTTTCTGGATTGCATAACATCCAGTAAAGGTTTGGGAAATTTGAGTTTTCGTGCAAGGTTTTTGCTTTGCCCATTCCATGTAGATAACAAGTCTTTTAGAATAGTTATTTCCTGTAGAGATGATTATTTCCTATTAGGCGGATCGGAGATCGCTATGGTCGGTGCCTCTGCATGACGACTTGATGGGTCGCATGTTGGCACAGCTGGTTGGCAATTATGGCTTCATGGGCCACAAAGTTGTCAATCGGTTTGGACGACGACAAGCCTGTCGCTTGTCTGATGTCCGCCAGAACCGAAATCCAACTCTTATGCCCCTTGCCAAGCGGCGTATTGTGAAAAGTGCTATGTCTCACAAGGAGTTAAACCTTTCACTATTTGGCAGACCTTGGACGACAATGGAATGCTTCTACAAGGAGGACAATATGTTTGTGCGGGCTCAAGCAGGTGACATGCTGATGGTTCGATTTCAATGTGACATATGTCATTTCAGGAATTTGGCCAAACGGTTGCCAGATCCGGGACAGCCCAAGGAGGATGAGGAGATTTTGGAGCATGTATGCCTCTGCAAACTCTGGTCTCTCATCCTGTGTTGGCGCAACAATTGCAATTCAGAGGGACCGTGGAAACATTAGTCAGTGACATGTCATGTACCACAGTCCAAAACCAACATCCACAGTTGTCGCTCTCAGTGTTATGCTAGTAATGACGAGCAGGTGACCAAGTTGGAATGGACGATGCCTTGTGCAGGTAGATGTCCAATAACTATGAACAAAAAGCTGTCTGTGGCGCAGCACTTGTACCCAGTATATGGTAGTAACTGATCACGGATCATTATGCCTAAGACAACTAGACTAAAGTGACAAGTAGAGTAGCAGCGTTCCCCAGCGCAATAATTAGGGAGGAGGTCAAGTGCATAGGCAATTTGCTAATCACTATAAAATATTTTAAAGGAAACAAAGTTAATCATGGAGAGGGATGATGACGCGCACTTGCGATTTTAATTGCAGAATTGATTGGAATGACACAAGGTGCACTATGAGCCTCTGTTATGTTTTGCCTGCTTACCTTACTCTGTCTCTGGTCCACAAATCAGGGAATGTAAGAAGTTGTTGGACAAAGGGAGGACTTCTGTTGTCGCCCCAGTTGCAAGAAAGAAAGAGTGACAGTGCAAAATGGAATCTTCTGCAGAAACTGCTTGTACGGGCAAGGGTCTTATGCCCCTTGCCAAGCGGCGTATTGTGAAAAGTGCTATGTCTCACAAGGAGTTAAACCTTTCACTATTTGGCAGACCTTGGACGACAATGGAATGCTTCTACAAGGAGGACAATATGTTTGTGCGGGCTCAAGCAGGTGACATGCTGATGGTTCGATTTCAATGTGACATATGTCATTTCAGGAATTTGGCCAAACGGTTGCCAGATCCGGGACAGCCCAAGGAGGATGAGGAGATTTTGGAGCATGTATGCCTCTGCAAACTCTGGTCTCTCATCCTGTGTTGGCGCAACAATTGCAATTCAGAGGGACCGTGGAAACATTAGTCAGTGACATGTCATGTACCACAGTCCAAAACCAACATCCACAGTTGTCGCTCTCAGTGTTATGCTAGTAATGACGAGCAGGTGACCAAGTTGGAATGGACGATGCCTTGTGCAGGTAGATGTCCAATAACTATGAACAAAAAGCTGTCTGTGGCGCAGCACTTGTACCCAGTATATGGTAGTAACTGATCACGGATCATTATGCCTAAGACAACTAGACTAAAGTGACAAGTAGAGTAGCAGCGTTCCCCAGCGCAATAATTAGGGAGGAGGTCAAGTGCATAGGCAATTTGCTAATCACTATAAAATATTTTAAAGGAAACAAAGTTAATCATGGAGAGGGATGATGACGCGCACTTGCGATTTTAATTGCAGAATTGATTGGAATGACACAAGGTGCACTATGAGCCTCTGTTATGTTTTGCCTGCTTACCTTACTCTGTCTCTGGTCCACAAATCAGGGAATGTAAGAAGTTGTTGGACAAAGGGAGGACTTCTGTTGTCGCCCCAGTTGCAAGAAAGAAAGAGTGACAGTGCAAAATGGAATCTTCTGCAGAAACTGCTTGTACGGGCAAGGGTCTTATGCCCCTTGCCAAGCGGCGTATTGTGAAAAGTGCTATGTCTCACAAGGAGTTAAACCTTTCACTATTTGGCAGACCTTGGACGACAATGGAATGCTTCTACAAGGAGGACAATATGTTTGTGCGGGCTCAAGCAGGTGACATGCTGATGGTTCGATTTCAATGTGACATATGTCATTTCAGGAATTTGGCCAAACGGTTGCCAGATCCGGGACAGCCCAAGGAGGATGAGGAGATTTTGGAGCATGTATGCCTCTGCAAACTCTGGTCTCTCATCCTGTGTTGGCGCAACAATTGCAATTCAGAGGGACCGTGGAAACATTAGTCAGTGACATGTCATGTACCACAGTCCAAAACCAACATCCACAGTTGTCGCTCTCAGTGTTATGCTAGTAATGACGAGCAGGTGACCAAGTTGGAATGGACGATGCCTTGTGCAGGTAGATGTCCAATAACTATGAACAAAAAGCTGTCTGTGGCGCAGCACTTGTACCCAGTATATGGTAGTAACTGATCACGGATCATTATGCCTAAGACAACTAGACTAAAGTGACAAGTAGAGTAGCAGCGTTCCCCAGCGCAATAATTAGGGAGGAGGTCAAGTGCATAGGCAATTTGCTAATCACTATAAAATATTTTAAAGGAAACAAAGTTAATCATGGAGAGGGATGATGACGCGCACTTGCGATTTTAATTGCAGAATTGATTGGAATGACACAAGGTGCACTATGAGCCTCTGTTATGTTTTGCCTGCTTACCTTACTCTGTCTCTGGTCCACAAATCAGGGAATGTAAGAAGTTGTTGGACAAAGGGAGGACTTCTGTTGTCGCCCCAGTTGCAAGAAAGAAAGAGTGACAGTGCAAAATGGAATCTTCTGCAGAAACTGCTTGTACGGGCAAGGGTCTTATGCCCCTTGCCAAGCGGCGTATTGTGAAAAGTGCTATGTCTCACAAGGAGTTAAACCTTTCACTATTTGGCAGACCTTGGACGACAATGGAATGCTTCTACAAGGAGGACAATATGTTTGTGCGGGCTCAAGCAGGTGACATGCTGATGGTTCGATTTCAATGTGACATATGTCATTTCAGGAATTTGGCCAAACGGTTGCCAGATCCGGGACAGCCCAAGGAGGATGAGGAGATTTTGGAGCATGTATGCCTCTGCAAACTCTGGTCTCTCATCCTGTGTTGGCGCAACAATTGCAATTCAGAGGGACCGTGGAAACATTAGTCAGTGACATGTCATGTACCACAGTCCAAAACCAACATCCACAGTTGTCGCTCTCAGTGTTATGCTAGTAATGACGAGCAGGTGACCAAGTTGGAATGGACGATGCCTTGTGCAGGTAGATGTCCAATAACTATGAACAAAAAGCTGTCTGTGGCGCAGCACTTGTACCCAGTATATGGTAGTAACTGATCACGGATCATTATGCCTAAGACAACTAGACTAAAGTGACAAGTAGAGTAGCAGCGTTCCCCAGCGCAATAATTAGGGAGGAGGTCAAGTGCATAGGCAATTTGCTAATCACTATAAAATATTTTAAAGGAAACAAAGTTAATCATGGAGAGGGATGATGACGCGCACTTGCGATTTTAATTGCAGAATTGATTGGAATGACACAAGGTGCACTATGAGCCTCTGTTATGTTTTGCCTGCTTACCTTACTCTGTCTCTGGTCCACAAATCAGGGAATGTAAGAAGTTGTTGGACAAAGGGAGGACTTCTGTTGTCGCCCCAGTTGCAAGAAAGAAAGAGTGACAGTGCAAAATGGAATCTTCTGCAGAAACTGCTTGTACGGGCAAGGGTCTTATGCCCCTTGCCAAGCGGCGTATTGTGAAAAGTGCTATGTCTCACAAGGAGTTAAACCTTTCACTATTTGGCAGACCTTGGACGACAATGGAATGCTTCTACAAGGAGGACAATATGTTTGTGCGGGCTCAAGCAGGTGACATGCTGATGGTTCGATTTCAATGTGACATATGTCATTTCAGGAATTTGGCCAAACGGTTGCCAGATCCGGGACAGCCCAAGGAGGATGAGGAGATTTTGGAGCATGTATGCCTCTGCAAACTCTGGTCTCTCATCCTGTGTTGGCGCAACAATTGCAATTCAGAGGGACCGTGGAAACATTAGTCAGTGACATGTCATGTACCACAGTCCAAAACCAACATCCACAGTTGTCGCTCTCAGTGTTATGCTAGTAATGACGAGCAGGTGACCAAGTTGGAATGGACGATGCCTTGTGCAGGTAGATGTCCAATAACTATGAACAAAAAGCTGTCTGTGGCGCAGCACTTGTACCCAGTATATGGTAGTAACTGATCACGGTGTTGGATATATTAGGATTTTCGAAGTACATATTTGGAGAAACGAGAAAAAGAGAATGCATGTGAACGATAGAGAAATGATGTCGACTGATGTGACTAAAAATGAAGACTGATGTGACTAAAAACATCGAGCGTGGCGAGTCAGAAAACGGATTATATTTCTATGGAAATCATCCTGTTGATGATGTAACAAAGCAAGATTCAAGCAAGAGCCAAAGTTGGATACTAATCAAAGTACCGACTACAGTGGAAGGTGAACGGATAAACAGATTGAACTTGCAGCATATCAGGCTGACGTAGAGAGAATTCTGAGAATTT